TTCATAAATTATTTTGATGTCAGCATAGATGAAATGGCGATTGGTTATCTCTTCCTCTTGCCAGCCCCTTAAGGGTCCGAGGTGAAATTAGTAGCAAGAAAGCATGTAATTGACAAAGTCACGTGTGCTCAGGGGGCCAGAAACTCGAGAGAGAAGAGAAAAAAAATCAAAAGAAGGAAAGCACATTAGACCATGCGAGCTAAATTTGTGATTGCACAAAATCAAGATGTTAGATTGATGCAGAAGATCACTCCGTTCCAAAGGGAAAGTTTTCATCTAACGAGTTTGGAGCAGAGGGCCCGTGGGGCAACATGGCCGAAGGTTAATTTTCTTTTCTATTGTTTTACTGTGATTTTCTTTCTTTTCTTCCCCCTCCACCCCCTTTCTCATTCTTCCTTGCCCGACTCCCTACTCCCTTTACCCCAATACTGAGCCTTACCTCCCTACCTCCCATTGCGCAATGGGGCTTTATGCAAACCTATTGTTATAGATTTCCAAAAATGTTTTGTACCGCCCACACTGATTCACAACTTGAAAAGCTTTCAGGGGGCTATTGTTTGAATTGTGTGAGCATGATTAAGCGCAGTTTCAGTTAGTGAGGGCGAGAAAACTTTAATACACCTGCCCCCTCCCCCATCTCACCCCAACTTTAATTGAAAGTTATGGGGGGAGGGGAATGCACATTGCAAATAATCCTGGATTCACCACTGCCGCGTGTGCATTAACTATTAGTTCTAACCATCTTCACCCTTTCTTTTCTGCTGCCCGCCAGAAATAGTTTCGCTGAAAATTTCTCTTTGTAAATTGGATCAGTGTGAAATCAGCAATATGCAAGTAAAGTATCATGAGCTGTACTATAATGCATGGTTGAAAAATGGAGTTAAATGGAAAGTACACATACGTACAGAAACGTGGAAGTTGGTGTGATCGATAGAAAAGTGTGGCTTCTCCCCTACTTTCATTTTAAATATTTTCTATAGAAGAAAAGAAGTAATCAAACCATTTACTAACGATTTTTTTCTATCTTCTCATCCTCCCCACCCCAAGCAATTTTTTTTCCTTTTTCGATGAACACCATATGGAAATACACATTAACTGGCTTTTTTTTTTTGTCCTGTTCCACTCAGGCGGGGCAAGCAAAGGTGGTGAAGAGCCTGGGAAGCTGCCAGAGCAGGCAGAGGAGGAATCCCAGGTTTTGCACGGAACTGGCCACTGTAAGTGGTTCAATGTGCGTATGGGATTTGGATTCATCTCCATGATAAACCGAGAGGGGAGCCCCTTGGATATTCCAGTGGATGTATTTGTACACCAAGTAAGCCAAACTTTTTTTCCCCTCTCACCTTTTCCCATTTTGAGGACCTGATCTGTACTTATGTTAATAGTCATACAATAATATGCCCCTAGGCAAATCAAAAGAGAAAATCTTCCTTAAAATCACGTGGTAATCGGTTTTTAGGGCATGTGTATGTGCCCTTTCCAGGATATGTTTTCCTAAACAGAAAATGAAATCTTTGATATTTCACTGTTTGGATACAGGCTGATGTTACTAGCATTTCCTCCTTTTCATTCAACAGCGAATTTGTGTTCTCCTAGCTTCCGGTATTATGGATTACAGTATAATAGGTCCCCTATGGCTAGTAAATGGGTAGAAAAATGAATGAAGAAACAGTGATCATTTTGAAGTTAAAAAAACAAAACAAAACATTTTGCTGTTCTAAGAAATGTGTAGGTTCCCTGTATTTTAGACCCTTCTAGTCACAATAGCGTCTCCTAGATTATTTTATTGCTACCTGCCCAGTAGTCATTTGTAGATTCAAATGAAATTAATTTAAAATCACAGTACAATCAAATAGAACACTAGGGCTAGAATGGATTTGAAAAAATTCCAGGGAAGATTTTTAGAAATCAAACATTTACGAAATGTGTTCCATGTAGGGGCATTGGTCCAAAGGATACTGTCCCTTTAAGAGACTGAACTAAAAAAACCATGTGGCCAAAGGCGGCTCAAGATTGTGTGTTTCAAATGTACTAGTCTGCTACTTGGGGTAAATTTCCACTGTTGCTTATATTGTGTTGTAATTTTTAAAGATGCTTAAATACCAAACAGAATGTCATTACCTCACATTTAAAAAAAAATTTTGTCCAGGAAACAATACAGTACATTTTTCATTCCATTCTATTAATTAATCTTTTTTATAATAAAAAGATATTGAGTGCTTGCAAGCCTGTTTCTTCAAAAGAAGTTAAGGAAATTTAAAT